ATATCACCATACATCTTTTCAGCGCTGTCGATGAAGTGGGACGATGCCGTTCGCCGACTGAACGCCCTGCTGATGGCAATCGAGGACGGAGTCATGCTCGGTTGGTGCCAGGCCGACCCGTTGGACGCGTCAGATGCGGACGTCTTATGTCCAAAATAATCATCTCTCACTTGTGGGTAGGGAGTAGTCTGGGAATAGGACCTCATCCGGACCGGTGGTGGTTTGGTTATCCTTTGCGATTTGGAACGTGGGAGTGTCTGCGCTGTTTTCTTTAAAAGTGGTCGCAGGGGGGGAGGTTGTGCCATTGGCTGGGGCGATGGCTGGTGCATCGTCTGTATTGGTATGACTCCGGACTGTGGTGAGGGTGGTGTCGGTGGTAGCTCTTCCATAGAAAGGAAGTTTGGCAGATTGGTTGGACCCGGTTCTGTTGGTCCGGGTGACCTCTGCTGGAAAGCAGCCTGCTCGTCATTCTCAGGTTGCTGTTGCGCGCCTTGCTGACCCCCTGGACCTCGAGGACTGGGGAGTTCTTTCACAATGTAAGAAACAATGGCTCGATCAAGGGCAGCATTCACCTCGTTTTCCTCCTCTTGCTCGCGTTGCTTGGCCTTGCGACGTCGCATGATAAGAAAGAAGACGAGCAGGGATATCAGTGACGAACCCACGACCGATACCGCCACGGCTATGCCGACGATTGTTGGAGAGACGCTGGATTTGTCTCCATTGTCCAATTGTGTCTGAAAGGTTATTAGATTACGCCCCTGGTGTGGAGTATGGGGTGACAGCCTGAGGTAAATGCTCACCCTATAGGTATCATTGCTTGTCCGAGGGACTGTTGAGGTTGCGAGTGCCAGCGCCTCGCTGATACTGCTGGCAGCTGACTCCTCCACGGCAGATAGCGCGATAGCAGCTGAAGCCTCAGCTGCCGCCAGTGCACTTGAGGCCGATGCTTGCGCTACCAACAGCGCACCTGAGGCGGAGGCGGCAAGATACCGAGTAGAAGACTGTAACTGGTCTACTGAGATTGCAAATTTCTGAGACAAAGACACCGCGCTGGCAGTGGCTGAAGCGAGTGCCCGTTGAAGCGAGTTTATCGACTCGAAAAGCCCCGTAATATCGCTGGAGTCGCGAGAATGCAGGGTCGCTCTCGCGGTTACTGTTACGGTATGGGGTGAGATTGTTTGTGAGGCTGAGAGGATCTGGGGGGAAGGTTTCGTGGGTGTCGGCGCTGTCGTCGTTATTGGGATGGACGTATAGTTGAGCTGAGAGCCCGCATCTTGATGTTGGCGGATGGGGGTCCGTAATCGATGCTGTGGCGAAATATGTATTGGGTCCGAGTGATACTCGATATCTTCTGAGAGAGGAATTCGAGTGGCGGCGCCATCGCAAAGGACTACTATCGAGCAAAGAAAAAACCCAAGTAACATATCTGGCGGCCACCTTCTCTGCCTTGCCATTTTGACACCCGGATGCTGAAGGACCGAGACGCCATTGATGGGATCTCGCTCGCAGGTCAACAGCACTTGGGCAGACTAGATCAACGCGAGTCCTGATGGGAGGCCCTACATTGAGCTAACGACGTCAAGTGTCCTGAACCATGCTCAATAGAAAAATACTGGAGAAACGGGTCACTCGACGCGGTCATCACTTAATACGCCAAGCACTTGTTTGCGTATATGTGGTGGCCGTTGAGGGGTGCTCGGCGCCACACCAGCAGACGTTAGGGGATTATTGGGCATTCCATGTTTACATTTGCCTCCCCCGGTGGGCCGAAAACGGCTTCCAAACCTCGGGGGCGTTAAGAAAGTGGGCGATGGGACATCGGTCCGTGTCATGAACATCAGATGAGAACCAGCAGAGTCGGCCTCTGTGACCCTCCCCGAAATGATAGCATGCGTGGATAATGGAGAACCTCGTGGGTGATGGAGGACGTCAAGCACGTTGTCCACATGGAAACCATGCATAGAATGACTTCAGATTAATCATCTATGAGACGTCAATATTGATTCTGTTGGTGTCTGCCACTGCTGGGTAGAAGGGTACAAACCATCCTCGAGTCAGTCCTTTTCCAACCTTGAAACTGACCACGTCACGTCGCCGTCCGTTCTCCACGGACGAAACTCGGAGTGATCATTTGCCGCCAAGGAGCAGGAAGAAACAAGATGTCAACATTATTCTTCCAAAATCAAGGATCACTCAGGACAAATAGATGTCGCCATAGAAAAAGACCCAAAGGAAGGTGAGGTAACGTTGTGTGGTGGTTGATAGTCAGTTTGATGTGATCACAGACCCCTGTCATAGGTTTGACAGTCTGTCCCAGCTGCCAACGGTCTGACAGTCTTCCCGTCAAACCGCCCCACCCCCACATTTGACAGCAGCGTTCCACACCTCCAACGCCCAAAGCGCAGCCATCAAGGTTCCTCCATCCCGCAACTGCAACCACTTTGCGCGCAAACGAAGCTATTCCCAACTCCTTTTTTCCAATTCATCAACAACCCCCTCCAAGTCTCCCTTTAGACGCCCTAGCCGACTGCCAACTCCACCCCATCACAATGGTCACAGTCGGCAGCCTCCAGCGCCTCCAGGCCACCACCCTCTCCACACTGCTCCTCGAATCCCCCGACCCCTCCTCAATAGCAATCGTGGACGTCCGCGACGACGACTATATTGGCGGACATATCCGCGGCGCCGTCAACTTCCCCTCTCAGACCCTCGATGCTACTCTTCCAACGCTCATACGTAAGCTCGAAGACAAGGAAACCGTCGTCTTCCACTGTGCCTTATCGCAACAGCGGGGTCCCAGTGCTGCGCTTAAGTATCTGAGGGAGAAGGAAAGATTGGCCAAGCTTGCACAACAGCCACAGGAAGGAGAGGAGAGAAAGCCAGCCGTGGAGCAAAAAGTCTATGTCCTGGACAAGGGGTTCGTAGGGTGGCAGGAGGTGTATGGGGAAGACGAAAGATTAACGGAAGGGTACAGAAAGGAGTTATGGAAAGATGGGTATTGGATGTGATGAACTCTGGTGGTATATTATTGCCTGAGCCTGGCGTTGAATGCGTTACGGATTATTTAGACGGGAATAGGAACATTGCTAGGCCGGAGTTCAGGCCATATCTTAAGTCCAGCGTTTGGTCTTATCAGCATTCCGTCAACAATCACTGCCGCCTAATTGACCCAGCACGTGTCATGGTTGAACTATACCATTGAGTACCTAAGTTACAAGACGCCTCGCCCATGTCTACACATTATTCTTAGGTATACTTCGGAGCCAAGTTCTCCTCCATGTTCCAACCGCCTGCGTCCATCAATCTGCCCCCATGATCACTTCTCTACTGTCTCATACTTAAGCTCGCATTTGCCATCGCTTGGACGAAAGACGAAGACACGCTCATCCCCATCATGATTTGTACCGCCAGTTTCCCCCCAGCGCTCGCAATCGTTCATCACCTGCCAACCCAGGTCAAGTGGTTCCCAACATTGCTTGGTACGTTTCTCCGTCGAATCGTTGCACCAAAAGAAGGCTGCGGTGGCTCCATTACATCTCAAATTCATGCACTGTTTGGGTCCCAGGGTGCACATCTTTCCGCGTTTGTACTCATTCATGGCGTCGTCGTACAGCTGGCGAGTGTCGTCACGGTCCGCTCGACGGCCAATGGGAGATGAACATTCGATTCCCAAGGGCCGAGATACCTAAGCACGATATTAGCATCAGCCCGAAAGCAGTTCGCCAACACATACCTTTGGGAACAGGCCCGCCGTGGGAGCTTGAGGCGGTACAAGTTGCGGCCGGGAATGCCTCTTCTGAGCAGCATGTTTGGGATAAGGGTCTTCCAAGTCTTCCGGCCAAATTCCTTCGAACCCCCCCCGCGTCTTCAGTGTGTCGTTGTAGTTCAAGTTGCATGCTTGACGGAATGGGATTGGATGGGTGACAATGACTCGAGAATCTTCCCCAATGTGAAGTTGCCCTTGTGTACGTATGCCGCCGAAGCTGCACTGGAAAAAGATCTCACCGGCGGCTTCAGCCAACTCTCTCCACAGTTTGGTCTTGGTCGTATTGGAGTCATTGCACCAGAATGCGCCGCCTGTTTCATCTTCGCACATGATGGGGATGCACTTCTTTGGAGGAGCAACAGATAGCCTCCTGTTGTATGTAATGGGCTCAAACCTCGGTTCCTACACGCGATACCACAGCGCGTGGTTCATGGGCATGCCTCCAACCATAACACACTCTGGTTCCTAAAGGCCAACATCAGCACGCCATCGTTTATTTAGGGTATGGGGATGGGTTGAGAGCATACTGGGAGCTTGAAACGTGCAAGCGGGCCGTACACTGCTGGATTGGGGCTGGTGGGCTGGTCCGCATCTTGCTTCTCGAGTGATGCCTCCTAAGCAATGTGAGGATGTAAGGATTCGTGCTCGTTGATGCCTGCGGACGGCTCCAAGTGTTCTTCTGGGATGAGGTTGGACTCTTTCACCAAAGGCTGGGGCTCCAGAGGAGGTGGTGGTAAAGCCTAGAGTTCTATGGTTAGTTTCTCGTGAGCTGAGGCAAGGGGTGGAAGTAACGTGCCATCGACAGAGCACCGGTGCTTAGCACGAACGGAGAGAACACCACGCAACAGGACGTCCTCATGGTGGCGATACAGCTTCGAATTCCAGTTTAGATATAGCGGCGTTGTATTACGAGAAGAGGGGGTGATAAAGATATTGGTGTCGACAAGAAGCAACCAAAGGTATTAGATGTGGGAGTAATGCTGTTAAGTTGGTGTAAGAGAAGAAATCAACAAGACTCGGCTGGTTTCCGGGGCAAATGGGCTGACAAGCAGCAGACAAATACAACAGGTAGGAGCAAGGAGCCTTCCAGGGTCCATACCAGGTAATTTCCTTGCCAACAGTGCCAGCTAGGAAATTGCTGGAAGGAATCACTTCCGAGCCGGGCAGGCAAGTGGCAGCGGACTGGCAACAACACTGGAAAGAACACCTGGGGTCGAAAAGAAGCAAAAAGAACTGGACGTACCAGGATTCGAACCTGGGACGTTCTCATGGAGCATACTGGTATCATTGGAACTCTTGCACCTGTAGTACATTCTAACAGCTGTAAGGCAATAAACACTTTTTGCAACTGAGATGTCTTGACCACTAGACCATACGCCCTATTTTTTGTCTTGTTACTATTATCTCCGGATCCGCATCTTATAAGCTTGATTCACGAGTTCATACCTACACGCATCCTCCGTCACCCTGGCAACCCCGTCTTCACACCCTAAACACACCACCATCACCCTCGCGCCTTTCCTGCCGTCGAACCTCTTCCCGAAACACATTCCTCGCCTGTTGCTGACTCTGACCGGTCATCATATTCACGGCGTTCATCCTCAACCCTTGGATATCCGTCGTCACGACCCTGATGTCTTTGCCGCTCAACCCACCGCCCATCCGCTGTCTTTGACTCCTCCCCTGTCCATAGCCGGACGATTTCAGGCCGCCAAATCCACCGCGTCCGCTCCGACCCATCCATCCTGCTACCATCGCGCCCACTTTGAATGATGGATGCCGACGTTTATAGATCATGCAACACGCCAGCGTGATGGCCGTCAAGAAACCGAACAGGATAGGCAGCGCGATAGCGATGGGATTTGGACCAGTATTATTACTCGAACGTGGGGGTGGCGTGTTGATGGCGCCTCCGCTGACAGGGTTTGTACTTGTAGGTCGTGCTGGCCCTCTGACGATGGTGACAACAGGGCCAGGAAACCGGTCGTTGCCCTCTAGGACTGTCCCGTTGCCATCCGAGTCTGTGAAGGGTTCTGCGATGGAGAGGGCGGCGATCAACGAGGACACATCGGGCTCGTCGAGGTACGAATCGAGGATGGACCAGTTGAAGGTGCCGAGTGAGGGGTTGAGCACGCCGGAGGTGAAGCCTTCGGTGCCGTTGCCTAGTGTTGAGTTCAGACGCGACAGAGGGGTGCCGGAGGGGAAGAAGTCGGCTTGGATGCGGATTTGTCGAGGCCGAGAGGTGGGCGAAGTCGCAAAGAAGCGCGGTGACCAGATTACTTTGAGAAGGTCAGTTCCTGCATGGATAATGGAATGACAGTAAGACTTGCCTTTAACTGAGTCGCCTGTTTGGACTTGAGCGCCTTCCTCTGGGGCGCAGAAGGGTGTATCACTCTCAGGTGCTTTGTCACACATGATCGCGACTCAGATATGTGATAGTTAGTTGGGGTAAGACAAGAGAAGGTTCTCAGAGACTACGAGAGTAGAATGTCGGTTTTTTGCGTAGTTGAGAACATGGGAAGCCATCAAGGTTGGAGGTTCTGTGGGGACAGCAGCCGTCCATCGGTTGATACCCCTTTTCTTGCCAGCGTCATGTTCTTCATCGCAACAAAACTGCCACGGCTTGAATGCAACCACACAGTAACAATTGGCGTATCAAGTTTTGTGTTCGTGTAAGTCAAAGTGGTGTACATCACGGACCCTCCTATCCGACCAACGCTGCAGGTGAAGTTGAAACACAACCGGGAGCCGGATGATACCCCTGCATCGCGAACCACCCACAGCCGAGTGTAAACGCGGAAACAATCATGTGTAGATGGTATCTATCGCAGAGGAGCACATTTTCAGTGCATTTTACCGGGTGCCGATCGGTGATTGATATACTGGCTCTGTGATGCCGTTGTTTCTCTTGACCGGCCATTGAACACCGCTGTTCTTGAACCGTGTTGCTAACTCATTGCCATTTCCAAATCCTGCTCTAGTAGATTGAGGATGGAAATAAACACATCCCTTTGGCTCTCATCACCACCCATCCCACCGTCATCAAATACTTCGCATTTGATGCACTTCCTGACAGCCTTGTAGTAGTTTGGCCCGCCCAGCGTGTTGACCGTTGAAAGAGCCTGCATTACGGCCTCATAGTTCGACAGAATGTCGTGCAAATCATCGCCCTCTTTCGGTCTGATCTTGCACAGCACTTGCCCAAATATGACTTCAATGAACAGTACCCCGAGTGCGACCAACGTCGGGCGGATGGTGTTGGACTGTGTTGGTTGGTCGGGGAAGCGTTTGACAACAAAACTGTCTCTAAGGTGTATGACACCATCATGACGGGCCACATAAAGGTCGTCATGAGTTGGTGGGTTGACATACCTAGATCGAATTGTGTCAAAAAGGCAGCCACGCAAAGGCGCTGTCAAACCTGAAGCTCACAACCCACACGAGCCATGGCCAGAACAACACCCGGAGAGAAAGAGAGAGCGAGAGAGGTCTAACTCCACGTTAATACCTAAACTTATATAGGTAGCTTAGAATTTAGTCTGGATTTCGCTTCATAACAACGATCTCAAGTTAATCCGTGAACTATCTATATGTTCTCCACACGGGATGCAAGAGGCCGTTCATCTCCCTTGATTGGCGCAGAATCCCCCTTCACTATTCATGCCATGTTTCTCAGTTCCCCACCTCGACTTTGCTGATGAGTGTAATCCAAAGTAAGGTGGGTAGCCATCAACACAGTCCGAGCTCAACACATATATCAAAAGCCTGACGTACCGGACACCTTCGTGAAAGTCAAATAAAAACATTCTCTGGGGCCCCAAAAGTTTACACGTTTCATGCTCAAGTGAAATAAACATGTGGCGTCCACAACAGAATCCCCTTCCTCAAAAAGTCCTCATCAGCTCTCTGATCCTCTGGTCCACTAAGCACCTCCCCCTCATGAGTAGGAACTACCAAGAACTCCGGCAGTGCTGGCGCATTCTCAGCCCACTCCGGCACCTTCTCCCAACTCCTCTCCTCCAGCGGCACGTTTCGAGCCGCTTCCGCCTCCTCAGGTGTGATCAACGACTTCATCTGCCGACTGAGCCCCAGCTTGACGCGCGCATTGAACGATCTCACCAGCAGGTATGTACACCCTGCCAGAAAGGCATACCGCTCGTGGCGTTCGGCCTCTGTCAGATCTGGCGACCAAAACCCTGGGTCGGCAGTCTTCGGATCCGGGATCCTCGAGAGGGACCAGGCAGGGTCAGATTGCCGCCAGAAGGCTTCCAGAGCGTTGCGGTAGGCCAGTACATCATCCAACAGGAAGAACTCGTAGAGCCGGTAGAGGGCGTAGAGTGGGGAGTCTTGAAAGACGCCGCGGGGACATGCGAATTTGCGTTGCTTGATCTGGTCGCGGTAGGCGGACGTCGACTGCAGGGTCTGGCGCGGGGGAGGTGGTGGGAAGGTTGGGTAGTCTGAGTCTTGAGCTATGTACTCCTCTTCCGGCGTCTCGTGGTCGACTGCCGAGTTGAAAGCCTGTGTGCTACGCAAGACTTGTCGAATTTTGGACCATAATTTGCCCGGCTTCTTGTCGCTTGAGGATGCCATGATATGTGAGACTATCTGCGTCGCCGTGGAATGTGCGCAGAGATGAGATTTCGAGACAACTTATTTGTCGGAATCGGGATTTTGAGAATCATGGTAAGACAAAAACAGGGTGCTGCCGGCTCAGGCCTACCTTTGTGCTTGATTTCCATGTTGGTGGTTGGGTGGCACGTGGCGGCTCCATTGAGGTTGGCAGTTTGGTAGTTGGAAGTTGGGGCCTGACAGTGGGGGCATCACTAAGAAATGCCTGGGTTGAGCGTTGGTCCAGCGGCTAAAACTGCTACCAACAGGCTGCATCGCCTCCTTTTCGACCATTCAGATTCAAGCAGCCTCCCATTGCCCGACCACCTCATGATGGGTATCAACAAAGGGAGAGCCAAAGGTCTGACCACAACCGAGCTTCTCAAAATGCAAGCGCCGAATTTGGTGATTGTTGATTTACATTAACCTCCCCGCTAAGTATAAGTCTCTTCAAAACTTCCTGCCTCCGGAATCTATCTGATATGGAACATAGAAAAAGTAAGAAAGAGACCTCAGACAAATGCATTCCTGCCACCGTACTGCCTTCGATACGCCGGATTGACCTGATTGCGCAACACGTTCTCCGTCATCTCATGATGGTATTGTCTGGCCCAGCCAAGCGCGACCTTGACAGGAACCGGCTTGTTGCCATGAGCCTGGATATACATGTGGATGTACGCCACGGCATCCTGAAGATCATACGGCCTCGCCTGACTCCCCCCAGTCAAGATACGGTTGATCTTTGCCGAGAAGGCATATGCCCAGGGAGCAGCCAAGATTGTCAGCCCCTTATCCTTCCCCTGAAAGACAATCACATTCTGAGCTCTTGCAGCCTGCGTGATCTCTGCATGCAACCGACCAGAAAGCCACATCTGGGTCTCAGTGTTGAGCCAGTCAGTCCCCAAAGCTGGTATGGCCCTCTGTGCTTCGTGCATCGCTTCGTCGACGAGATGTCGGGCGCTGTTGTTAAAGTCAGATCCAAACACATCGACGTCGTGAGTTGTGTGTCGTGAGCGAAGGTAGAGGGTGTTGACGGCTCCTCCTACTGCGATGACGCTAATGCGTTGCCCCCGGCTTGCGATGTAGTGGGAGACGCGGTCGAGAGCCTGGCGTAAGACGTTGGCGTTGATGTCTCTAGTTACTGGCTGGATCGGCACACCCTGTGCATTCAGTCGATTTCGAGGGATGTGGATGGTAACATCTTGCGGTGCTCCGATCTGCAAGCCGCCCGCAGCTTGACGTCCCTTCTTTTTGGCCGGTTTGCTACCGCCACAGCCCATGATACATAGGACGAAGTAAATGGAAAGGAAAAGCGAATGAATTAGTTGAGAAGGAGACGAACGTCCCAACACGGCCTTTTACCTATGACACATAGTACTTGAACAGGACGAAGAAAGGTCATCCGGCTCTGTTATGAGGCTCTTGCTATTCCTTCCCTACCTAATTTCAGGTTTGCGAGCTTAGAATAGACGCTGACCGAGCCACAGGAGTGCATGCTGCAAGGAAATGGTCTAAACCTGGGCCTGGTGAGGGTGATACGGTTGTCATGCCAGAAGATATGTCCCAATTCTGCGCCCTTATAGACCAATTAAATGACTTCGCCGGCCCAACCGCCATGTTCCCAAACGACATATCACCAACAGTATCAATTTCGTAGGCCAACACTGACATGTCGCGCTTATCAAGTCGCGCACTGTATCAGATCGACTTACACTATCTGGGTTCGACCACGCTGACGCCAACATGCTCTCTCAAGCTCCCGTCTTCCGTAA